GCGCCCCCGGCCCGGCTCCCGCCTGCCCCGGTCCGTTCCGCGGCCCCGCTCGGCCGCCCGCGAAGATGCGGCTGCTCCCGGAATGGCTTCTCTTGCTCTTTGGCCCGTGGCTCCTGAGGAAGGTAAGGGCGGCGGGGCTGTCTGGGGGCGCGGGGTCTGGGGCGCAGAGGTGCCGGAGCGCAAGGGGCTCCGTGCGCCCGCCCTGCCTCCGGCTCCGAGCGTCCCAACTTTGCGCGGCGCGGGAGCGCGGACGGACAGACTCCCCCATTCCGGACAGGCGCTCTCCCAGCGCAAGTTAGCGGAGGGTGGGGGGCGGGTGCCGGGGTGAAGGCCCAACTGGGATCTGGCTCCGGGCGTGGCGGGGGAGGGGACCGAGCCCGACCTGCGAGTGCGCCAGACGGAGCGGGAGTGCGAGACAGACAGACAAGCCAGCGGGGTGTCAGCCTTGCCGTCTTTCCGCGCCAACCTCGCTCGCCTTCCTCGCTGTCTGTCCTTCCACCCTTCCACCCCCGCCTTCCCATTTCTCTTCTCCGCACTTGTCACAATGCCAGGTGGGCACAGTGTGCCGAGCATGCACGGCCCGAACACACGCGCGCAGACACGGACTCACAGATACGGGCGAACTTGGCTACAATCTCCCATCACATTTCCCGCGGAGACACCATCTCCCCTGCACAACCTCACAGACACACCCCTCTCTCGCGCCCGGCTGGTAGGGGGTGGGGGCTGTCTGGAAGAGGAGTCTCTCCTCCCGTCCCCTCCTTGCCCCCACCTCCCTAGGCTGCCTCTTTTCCTGAGGCTCCGGGGCGAGGACCCGGAGGCTAAGGGGGCCCAGACTTAATCTGCCTCCCTCCCGACTTGGAGGCTTCAGCTCCGTACGCGGTGTGCTTATGTGTGCTGGTGTGGAGTGTGTGGGTCGGCGTGTGCACCTGTGTGTGGGCATGTGTCGGGGCAGCCAGGCTTGGGTGCTAGTGCTGGGGTCCAGGGTGCATGTGTCGCAGGTATGGTGTGTGGTGTTGGCTTTGAAGGGGTGAGTGCAAGTGCCTGTTCCACAGTGCAGCCATCTGTGCCTCCTGTGTGTCCCACAATGGGTGCATAGGCCCTGGACCCCCATCTCCTGCATCCCTGCCCATGACTTCTCTCCTGCACCCCGAATGTGACCTACCTAGTTTGAGGGCAAGAAGGTGGCTTCCTAAACCCCTACTCTCTGCCCCCCAAGCCCCAGCCCCTGCAGAGTCTGGAAGGGGTGTAGTTCTCCCCCCAACACTGGGACCCCACCTGCTCAGCCAGATCGGACTCAGCAGCCCCAGCAGGGCAGGGGCTGCCCTAGCGAAGCTGGCAATGGAGCGCCCTGATTCTCCCAAACCCGCCTGGTGACCTTGAGGTGCCAGAAAGTGGGCAGGAGAGCCCCCTCCACAAAACCTACTTCCACTGGCAAGAGCTTCTTCTGGACTTGCTGCCCAGCTCTGCCCTTCAAGGCCTGCGGGAGGGGGTCTGTGCCCACAAACAGCTGGGTGTGAAGGCCTGGGGAGGGGAGGGATGGATCTACTCCCCTGCCCCTCCTTTCCACTCCCCCTCCCCTCCTCTCCACTCTCCCTGTCAAATAAACTCCCCTGTGGACAGATCTTGTTTAATTTCCTTTGCCCCCTGAAGGGGAATGAAACATCTGGTGGAGACTTGAGGGAGAGTAAGCATGGGGATGTGACCGATGGGCATCTAGCTGAGCGTGTGAAGCTGCAGCTGTGGGCCTCGGTGCTGGAGTCAGTGGGGGAGAGCATATCTGCCAGTTAGTCCAGCTTGTGTGCATGTGAGAGTCTGTGTTTACGTGTGTGTACAGACTGTGGGTGTGTGAATATGCATAACTGTGCATGGGGGGGTGTGTATAGGAAAATGTGTGTCCGAATACCCATCTGTGTGTGCTTGTGTGCACTTGTGTATACCTCTAGGTGGGCCTCCAGTGCATCTGTGTGCTGGGGCACATGTGTTGTCTGGATGTGAGTCTCCGGGGTTTGTGAGTGTGTATCTGCATGCTTGTGGTTTTGAGTGCATGAGTGTGGGCAGGGGATTGTGAGCCTCAGGATGTGTTCATGAATCGGATTCTGGCTTATGTATGTGTGTGCTGCGGGCCGTGTCAGTGCCCGGGCTGAGAGTAGGTTGACCCTGGGTAAGAGGCTGCTGGGGGACAGTTTACAGGCAGCTCTTGGGAACCGGTAGCTGTCCAATGCTAACAAGGCTGCCCCTCCTCCAGGAGCTCTCTCCCTCCTTGCTCCTTGCTCCAGGCTCTTGGTCTCCTCTCAGGGCCTGGGACTCCTGGCCTCCACTGCCCCTGGAGCTCTGGCCTCTGGGCCAGGCCTTCTTCAGGATCTTTCTAATACGGTCTCTGACTCCTGCTCTCCCTCTGTCTCTGTCTTCCCCACCCCTAGCCCAAGTGGCTGCCTACTGGGAGAAGCAGCAGGCGATCAATAGTCACTAATCACTAATTACTAATTAGCTGGGGGAGGGCAGAGGCGGGGCCCTGTGGGACCTGCCAGCTCCATCCTGCCCCAGGGGAAGTATTAGGCCGGAGCTTGACTCTCAGAGAGGCTGGGCCGCAGCCATGCATCCAGCCACCCCTGCCTCCGTAACCCCGAAGGCCCCCAGCTAATCTCCGGCTGGGCCACTTAGGCACGTGCAGCCTGGGCTAGGGCCCTGAGCTGTTGGCGGGGATTTGGGAGTAATCAGGGGCCGCAGCTGGGCCGAAGGCACAGGAGGGGGGGCACTGTGACAGCTCCCTTGGGCCAGAGCCTACGAGTAGGGGAGGGGTACCCTTGGAAAGAATTTAGAGGGTTAAGAGTCGGAGTAGGGGAGGAGCCTGAGATCCAGGACAGGGTGACTGGGGAGGATGTGAAGTAATTGGGGGACAAAAACAAGGTAAAGAAGGTCACTGGGGTCAGAGACAGAGTCATTGGGAAGGGGCGAGATAAAGGTTGAAAGACACCAAGTAAATGAAGGGGGCATCCCAGGGGTCAGAGATGAAGTCATTGGCCAGGAAATGGGGAACTTTGAACTGAGCCCTGCAGCTCCACGTGGGCGGCTCCAGGAGGAGGACGGGGTGACAGAGAGAGAGCAGGGTCATGGGGGAGGGGTCCCAGGGCTCGAGGGTTGCCGGGCGCGGTGGGGAGTCGCGGGGCGTGGGGTGGCAGCGAGCTGCGGGGCGGGGATGGGGAGCAGGGAGCGCTGCCGTGAGCGCTGGAAATTGGCGAGTCTCCCCCTCTCCCTCGCCTGCCCCTCCTCCACCTCCACCCCGCCCACTCCCCCTCCGGCTCCGGCTTCGGGAAATTACATCCCCGCTCCGCGGCTCCCACACCCCCCCCCCACGGCGCCCCGGAGCCCGCGCCTTTATAGGCACATTTATTGCAATAATAAAGTGAGGCGCGGGGCGGGGGGCGGGGGGCGGCCGTTCCCGGGGGGACCGCGCCGGCTGTAGGAAGCAGGGAAATAAAATAAAATAAAATAAAATCAAAATTCAGATAACGGTGAGCCTTGCGCTGCAGGCCTCAAGCGGGCGGGCGGGCGGGGCTGAGGGGGAGGGGGCGCCCGGCCCAAGGGCAGAGCCCACCGCACCAGCGGTCCCGCCGCCTCACGCTATAGTAGGGTCTGGAAGGAGATATCTGCGCCTCCACCTGCCGGGCCCCCTCCCGTAGCCTGATCCTGCCAGTGCTCTGCCTTTTCCTCTGACTTGTCTCCCATACCTGTCCTCAGCTCCTGTCTCTGTCCCAGTCTCCCATCTCCTTCCTTGTCCCCCATTTCTCATTCTAGTCCCCATTCACATTTCCCATCCCAATCCCCTGAGTCTCTGCATCTTTCAGCATCCCTGTTTCTGCCCAATAACCATTCCCCATCCCCCATTTCTGTTCCCACCCCCAACTGATCCCCATCCACATCTCCCAGTCCCTATCCCATTCCTGCCCTCCCAATGCCCATCCCTCATCCACTGTCCCTGTCCTCCCCCATCCTCATTTTGGTTCCCATCCCATTCTCTGCTCCATCTTCATTCCCCTGGTCCCTACCCCATCTGCATCCCTGTCTCTGCCCAATGACTGTCCCCCATTTCTGATCTCCTCTTCATCCCTGTTTCCATGCTTCATTCCTGTTCCTATCCTTGTTCCATCCTTAGCTCTGCACCCAATACCTGTGCCTTCGAGGTCCGCACTCCCAGTCCCCCTCCATTTCTGTCCCAGTCCTCACCCCAGCTGTCCGGTCCACCCCCCTCTGTCCTCAACCCTGTCTCTATCTCTGGTTCCCAGCCAGAACCCCCCCAGCCCCGACTCCACCCCACCCTGACTGCAGTGCCCCCCTCTTTCTAGGTGCAAGGGCTCAGTACGCTATTCCCTCCCCTTCCCCAGCCCAGGCCTGGAGCACTGTTTTTCCCCAACCATAGGGTGGGTGCCCACCCCCCGTGGGAATCCTGAGCGCCCCGCCTGACCCATGCAGCAGGAGAGAAGCCAGTGACCGACCAGTCTGGAGGCCTGGGGGAGGTGTGCCCTGCAATGCGGCTGGGGGGCCGACAGCCTGATCCTCCCCCGATTCCCATCGGTCTCATCCCAAAAGATCCCCCCCCCCCAGTGGAGTTTGTTCATCGGCAAGAGACAGCCTCGACTCCCCTCCATTGCGTGGGCTCGCTGCCTTGGGGGCAAAGCGCTCCTGGCTCAGCTCCCGCCCCCCATGGGCCTGGAGGCTCCTGGTGAAGCACACCCCCACCCCCATCCCTGCTGCCACCAGGCACCTCCGCCCCCCTTGCCGACAGCTGGGCTAGCCTCTCCCCTCTGCAAATGTCACCGTGCCCAATTAGCTTAATTAAACCAGCTCTGGAGCAAAGGGGACCCCCTCCTCGGACAACACCCTGCTCCCACTCTCGGTCGTAGAGGGGGAGGGACAGCTCATGGATTCTGGGCAAAGAGGGGCTCCTGTATCACACTGCTTTCCCCTCACTCCCACCCCCACCACAGCTGGAGACAGACACCCCAAGGAGAGAGGGAAAGAACCACAGTTAGAGAGACAGACAGAAACGGAGAAAAACAGAATCAGGGAAGGAGAAAATTAGGGACAGAGTGAGGAAGAGACTGAGAGACAGAAAGAGACTGGGAGAAGAATCAGGGAGAGAGATGGAAAAACAGTGAGAGGGAGAGCGAGCGTGCAAGCAAGGAAGCCAGAGGGAGGATTTTATTTTATTTTATTCCATGTTCCCATTTCTCGGCTCGTTTCCTCACAGACTCTCCCTCCTCCCTGTCCCAGCTCCCCCCCCAAGGTCGCTTTGCCCTCCCCCCCCC